GCTGAACACTTGCTGAAGTCAGCGAGAGCAGAGAATGCTCTGAACCTACCAGCTCTTGGGACGTAGCTGTTGGCACACCCAGCACGGGTCTTAGAATTTGGAGACACAGCTTGTGTAGGAGAGCCGCTGCACCTCAGACCTCTCCATGATTCATTAGGCTTGATTGAACTACCAGCATGCTCGGTGCCAGCCAACCCACCAAGAATGGCAGCACCAGCTTTCCTCTATTGGGTGAGACCACCCTAGTGCCATTCCTTCATAATGCACCAATCACCTTTACCTATCCCTGGCAGTTAAAACTATTGGGAGCACAAAGCTGAGCTAAGCAAGGACTTGGAAAAAAAACACTTGATCTCATATGTCCATGAATCAAAGCTAGGTCTTCCATGTGTCTGGCAAGGATGCAACCACTGAAGGATGAACCACTGAAGCTCCAGCTGTCCATAGGAGTGTTCTGTCCTGGGAAGCTGTATTGTTCTATTGTTTTGATGCAGGCTCTTCCCCCTTCCTGTTGTCTGCTCCATCACTGTCAAGGACACAGGTCTGTTTGCTGGGCTTGGGGAGAGGCTCATGGGACAACAAGCATGTTGTTGTCTGTATTTAACCACCAGCCTTAAGCAGGCTCTGAGGGCTCAGGACAGGCTGGTCGTGCCCTCTTTTACTGCTGCTATATGACTTGCCCAGCAGAGGCAGTGCTGGGCTTACAGAAAGCTCTGTTGTCCTAACAGTATGTTAGAGTAGTTGGTGAGGGAGTTAACTATCTTTTTGCCTGTTAATGAAAATGATTTGGCTTCTGGCATTTTAGTGGGAGGCTGGTCTGGGAGCAGTTGGCAGAGGGGAGCAGGACTAGTTATGACTGCACTGGAAGCCTCTGCTCTGCCTGTCTCTGCCCTAGCCAGCTGGCTCTGATCTAATCACTCAACAGATGGAATTGCTCTCTCTTTCTCCCCACAGTTGTTAGGTTCCCTAGTGGGAAACTCCCTGAAGGCCTGTCAGGAAGCCACTGTTCAAGCCTGGCTCTGCAGCTGCATGCATGCGATCAGGTTATACCTGTAGTCCTGTTGGTGACTATGGTGTCAGGAGAGTTTAGGTCCCCCTGACTACCACAAGAGCTTATATTGCCCAAAAATGAATGAGTAGATATCCCAGGCCTACTCTCAACTACAAAGTTCTGCTAGCAGTGCCCCAGCTCGGAGTGCATCCCTGCCCAAAGCTATTCTGCACAACCCTGCATTCAGCCAGCAGTTACACCTCTGCCAAGTGGACTTATTCTTCTGCCACCACGTGGCAGCCAGCAGAAGGCATGTGTAGACATTGTTGACCTACCATGCATGGTCCTTCTGGCACTACTGCTTTCCCAGGATGCACTTCTTCCTCTGGTGGCACTGCATCCGGGAGGAGTAGTGTGGAGCTGGCAGGAAAGCAGGAGGATGTACCCACTTCAGCAGCTTATCACTGGCAACTGCTGTCTGCCCTTGGATATTTGGATGGCAGAAGCACATAAGTATAGATGAGGCCCCTGCATCACCCTGCACTGCCATCTGGCATGCTACTAGGGCTCGCTAGCTACTGGGATCAGTACCTGATGGTGCTTCTATTAGGACAAGGGCCCAGCTCTCAGCAGCACAGCACATCATCTCTGTAGCTAGAGTTGAAACCAGTGGGATGCTGGAGTTGTCAGGGCAAAGTCATTTCCAACCCCCATGATGAGCCACTCCCGGAGTAGGAAATGGAAAAGGTTCTTGCTGGGGTGCAGGACATGGCTCTGGGAATACCCTATGCATGTTGCCCTCTGGGAGATGGCAGTGTCCTGCTGATAGTCTTGTTGGCGAACCTTGTGTTATCCCTGTCAGGGGTTCTGTGTTTTGTTTGCACAGTGTGCTTGGCTCTTGTGTTGTGTGAGGGGGAGCAGCGGGTGTTTTTTAGGACTATTCAGATAAATGGCTGCCTGTGAAAGCAGGGGATGGGACTTCATGGTGTAGGACCTTGTGTCTTGTGCTCCCCAGACTCTGACCTCAGAGCCCTGTCCTGCACTCTCAGCTCCTCCCCTTTTTTTTCTGGCTTATGTTCAGTCAGTCTGCCCGCTCTGTCTTTTCCTTCTCTCCTTCCATACTTACATCTGTTCACCCCATCCTTTCTTCCTGTGTCTTCTTCCTAGACACTATTATCCCATTCAGCCCACATGTGCCAGCCTTAAACCCTCTGTCCCATGGAGCCCCTCCAGAAGCGGTGTTCCTGAGGGATTCTCACTCTCCCACTCACCCCCATCTTTCTCCTTCTCTTTGGCTCTCACAGTTCTCTGTCTTGACTCCAGTGTCAGATGTAATTGGAACGTCACCACGCTCACCCCACTTTTACAAAGTGGTTGCTGCAAGCACAGGTTGACCCAACTCCTTGAACGCTTCATTCAGACCAGTGCCATATGGCTCCACAGCTGTGGTTACCAGTGCACTTACCCACTGCTGATCCCCTGCTGCCATTTCTCAGGAGGTTCTCAGCCTGGACTCTCTTCCCCTTAGCAATATTTGGTCTTTATGCATATGCGACGCGTAGGGAGGGCACGTGCCCTCCCGATAAGGGAGCTGAGGAGCGGGGGGGGGGGCCCGGCCCCCCCCGGATGGGGCCCCTGCCAGCAGCTCCAGCGCTGCCTGTGTGTGCACCCCCAGACTTGGAGGCACCAGTCGCCCATGTCTTTATGTGCTGA